GAGGAGGAGGAGGAGGAGGAGGAGGAGGAAGAAGAAAAGGAGGAGAATGAAAAGGAATGAAAAGGAGAAGGAGAAGGAGAAGGAGAGAGAAGGAGAAGGAGAATGAAAAGGAGAAGAAGAAGAAGAAGAAGAAGAAGAAGAAGAAGAAGAAGAAGAAGAAGAAGAAGAAGAAGAAGAAGAAGAAGAAGAAGAAGAAGAAGAAGAAGAAGAAGAAGAAGAAGAAGAAGAAGAGAGGAGGAGGAGGAGGAGGAGGAGGAAAAATAACAGTGTCAGCAATGCAAAACTTCAAAAAATGCTCTATCTGCTTTAAAACTCCAGTTCCCAGAATCCCTTCTGGCTCATGGCTGGTGGGGAAACCTGGGAAATGAATCTTTTACCCATCAGGGCTCTTGCAATGACTTCTGGGAGTTCTAGAAATAAAATGGCTCCACTTATTTTTCATCCCCTTTTGTTTTCCTCTTCACGGCCTCTGCGAAAGTCGTTCATGAACCCCAAAATAGGGTGGATAGGCCCTGCCGAAGCACCCCCTCTTCCATTTGCACTTACCTCGTCCGTTGTGGGCTTTTTGGGATCTTGCTGTTCTTCCTCCTCCTCGCTTTCAGCTTCCCGGTCTGGCGGTGGGGAGAAAGGAAGGGGATTAGGGGCTTGGTGGTCAAACGGTTAGTTGGCTATTTGTCTGCAGGATGGGGAAATCACTATTTGGGCTGCTGAACCTCAACGAACTACAATTCCCAGGAGGCCTAACTTTTATTTTTAAAAGTTAGCAACTTTTAAGATGTTTGGATCATTCTCGCAGAATCCCCCAGCCAGCATGCTTTAAGAGGGGTGGACTTCCACTCCCAGAATCCCCCAGCCAGCCGGCTTTAAGAGGGGTGGGCTTCCACTCCCAGAATCCCCCAGCCAGCTGGCTTTAAGAGGGGTGGGCTTCCACTCCCAGAATCCTCCAGCCAGCCTGCTATAAGACGGGTGGACTTCAACTCCCAGAATCCCCCAGCTGGCACATTGGGAAAACCTTTTCTTCACCTTAGTTTGGATATGCCTCTGTTTGGGGTTGTCTCACCAATAGATTTGCGGGGCTCCCCTAGTTTTGCCATTCTGTCCGAGGCCTTTTCCTCCCCATTGGTCAGGATGGAGGAGAGGATTTCCGGCTGCTCGGCAAAGGGAGACCCTAAAAGAGAGGAAGGGATGCTAAAATTAAAAAAGAAAAGAAAAAAAGAAATCAGCCGGCTTCTTCTTGCTTTCCTTTTCTCTCCTCGGCGTCTTTTCCTTGCGTGCTGTGTGGCTCCTCAGCCTGGGGAGGATATTATCAGCGTATTTTATGAAAGCAGGATTTACGATTAGACGGGATAGATGATAGAAAGAAGGCAGATATGCTGCAATCATCGATTAAGAGGCCAAATTTAGAATTATAAGTATGATAAAGAAGATCAAATCTTTGCATTTTTTTTCTTTCTGTTTCTGTTTTTCTTCTGTTTTTCTTCTTACCTTTTGCTGACTCCTCCCTGCTTCCACATTCCTTCCTTTTCTTCTCTTTTCCCTTCCTTCCTTTCTCCTTCCCTCCAATTATTTTCCTTCCTTCCTTCTTTCCCTTCTGCCTCCAATTTCCCTTCCTTCCTTTCCTTCTTTTTTCTCTTCTTTTTTCCCTCCCTCCCTCCAATTTTCATTCCTTCCTCTTTTCCTTCCTTCCTCTTTTCTTTCCTTCCCCTTTCCTCTTCCCTTCTTTGCTTCCTTCTTCCCTCCCTCCTTCTCCCTTCCAATTTTCCTTCCTTCCATTTTCCTTTCGTTCTTTCATTCTTTCTCTTCCCCTTTCCTCCTCCCTTCTTTCTTCCCTCCCTCTCTTCCCATCTGTCCCTTCCTTCCTTCCTTCCTTCCTTCCTTCCTTCCTTCCTTCCTTCCTTCCTTCCTTCCTTTGATTTCTCTCTCTTTTCTGCCCTGGACTTCCTTCTGCCCTGGACTTTGCACAAAGCAAAAACTCAGCTTCTTTGCTAGCTGAGACGGGATTTTTTTTCCCCCAAAGAAGCAGCAAAAATTCAGGGTTGCTTTGGATAAGTGCGACGAGCTTGCCTGTAGATTTAATAAAAATAAAGAAATAACTTTGGGGCACCTACCCAAGGCGGGAGAACCTGGCTCGCCCACCCCAGAAGAGTCGCTGTAGGAACTGGGCGTCTGCTCCAAAACCCGTTTGCGTACGCTGCCTTCCGTCCCCTTGATGTGGGTGCGACGTTTCTTGTTTTTCACCAGAATGCGCCCCAATAATTCCTGGGGGCTCGGTAAGGCTATGCCAGGCTGGAGCTGCAGGAAGAGAGGGAGGGGGGAGAAGACAAATGAGAAAATTAGCTGAGCCGAACCACAAAGAAAATGTCATGCCCCTGTTGGAGTCGGATTCCGAGGGGGAGGTGGAACAACCTGTCAGTAAAAGTCAGCCAAGTCCCCAACAGATCCTCTGAGTGTTGGAAATGCAAACAAAAGCAAGGAACATATTACCATGCGTGGTGGACATGCCCCGTAGCGAGAAAATATTGGATAAGGACAAAAAAACGAATAGAGGAAATAATTAAACAGCAAATTAAATTAAGACTGGAGAGTTTTCTATTAGGTATAATGGGAAAATATGATAAAAAATAACACGATTATCTAATGCTACATTTATTAACGGCAGCAAGAATAACTTGCTAAACACAGAGGAAAATGTGATAAGAAAAATACGAGAGTGTGCCGATCAGGTTGACCATGGAGATAAAGGAAAGACAGCAAATTGATTATTCTGTGACGTGGAATGTTCTGTATATGCCTGGCTAAATAATAGATATAGAGTTAAATAGAGAAGATGACAATAAGATAATAAGGTGAATGTTATAGAGGATAAAAATAGATTAAGCAATATAAACAAGGGTCTAGATAGTTAAGCTTTACGTAAAAGTATGTATACCGTCACGAAAGCATTATTAATGAATGGAAATGATGTTGTAGATAAGAAAAATCGTTTAATAAACATTATTTTTTTAAAAGTCAGCCAAGTCCATTAAGAGTTACTCACTGGATATTTTTCAAAGGGGTCGATCAGAAGGGCGTCACCGAAGATGCTTCGACAATATTCGGCCATCTTAGCCTGCTGTTTTGCTCTATAAAATGGAGAGGGGAAAACCAGAGATGAGCCATTTTTTGGAAGCATGGACAGAACCTCTGTAAAAGAGAATACAAGACAGAGGGGCAGCTCCCGCCAGGATCCGCTCTGGCTGCAAGTAACTTTACTCACGAGTCAACGTGGTTCTCAAAGGAAAGGATGACTGGGTAGGGCGAGGTCTTGAAGGCGCTTTCCGCAATGGCTTCAATGACCTCCTGCAACCGAGAGAGAGAGAGAGAGAGAGAGGCGAGCGGAGGGATTAAGCATCGGGGAGCGAAGGGACCAAAAGACTCGGGCAAAATGATCCAGGTTTGCCGCAGAGGGGTAGATGAATAGCATGGGGAATTCTGGGAGCTGAAGTCCATCCATGTTAAAGCAGGCTGACCAGGGAATTCTGGGACTTGAAGTCCACCCAACTTAAAGTATCCGAGTTAGGGAACTCTGGGAGTTGAAGTCCACCCATCTTAAAGCCGACTGGCCAGGGAATTCGGAAGTTGAAGTCCATCCATCCTAAAGCATCCTGACTGGGGAATTCTGGGAGTTGAAGTCCATCCATCCTAAAGCATCCTGACTGGGGAATTCTGGGAGTTGAAGTCCATCCATCCTAAAGCATCCTGACTGGTGAATTCTGGGAGTTGAAGTCCACCCATCTTAAAACCTGCTGGCCAGGGAATTCAGAAGTTGAAGTCCATCCATCCTAAAGCATCCTGACTGGGGAATTCTGGGAGTTGAAGTCCACCCATCTTAAAACCGACTGGCTGGGGAATTCTGGGAGTTGAAGTCCACCTATCTTAAAACCTGTTGGCCAGGGAATTCGGAAGTTGAAGTCCATCCATCCTAAAGCAGGCTGACCAGGGAATTATGGGAGCTGAAGTCCACCCAACTTAAAGCATCCTGACCGGGGAATTCTGGGAATTGAAGTCCACCCATCTTAAAGCCGACTGGCTGGGGAATTCTGGGAATTGAAGTCCACCCAACTTAAAGCCTCCTGGCTGGGGAATTCTGGGAGTTGAAGTCCACTCAACTTAAAGCATCCTAGCTGGGGAATTCTGGGAGTTGAAGTCCACCCATCTTCCAAGTTGCCCAAGTTTGAGAAACAATGCCACAGAGATTTATTTCGTTTATACTTCATATTTTTAACTGCCCATCTCCCTTGGTTCCTGCCTTGAGGGGAGGAGGTGTCGGACCAGAAAACCTCTTGGGTCCCCGACCTCTTGCCCCCCAGGAGGACCAAGTACCCGGGGGAGTTGAAAGAGTACCTTAAAAGGGATTTCCGTCGTCATGGTGAATCCGTGGGTGATGAACGGCTCTTCGTCCTGGGGACGCCCTTTCCAGCAATCGAGTTCGATACAGCGGCAGCCGCTTAAGAGCACCTGCCGGTACATTTCCACGGAGGAATTGCCCGTCAGCTGCCCGGCTGGAAGGAAAAAAAAAGAGGTGGGGGGGAAATGATAAGGAATGTCCTTGGGAGACAGAAGGAAGAGCCGAGCCCTCAGCTGCATAATGGATGGAGACAGATGTTCAGAAGGCAGGATCTTCCCTAATTGGTCAGGCTGTAAAGGACAGGGCTGGAATGGTAGGTGAGAAAGACCTTGAGGGATGGATGAAAGGAGGCTGTGTCTCAGATAAGAGATGGCTGAGCCCTCGGTTGCATAATGGAGAGGAGGAGGAGGAGGAGGAGGAGGAGGAGGAGAAGAGGAAGGGGAAGGGGAAGAGGAAGAGGAGGAGGAGGAGAGGAGGAGGAGAAGAGGAAGAGGAAGGGGAAGAGGAAGAGGAGGAGGAGAGGAGGAGGAGGAGGAGAAGAGGAAGAGGAAGGGTAAGAGGAAGAAGAGGAGGAGGAGAAGAGGAGGAGGAGAAGGAGGAGAAGAGGAAGAGGAAGGGTAAGAAAAAGAGGAGGAGGAGGAGAGGAGGAAGAGGAGGAGGAGGAGAAGGAAAGGAAGAGGAAAAGGAAGGGGAAGAAGAGGAGGAGAAGGAGGAGAAGAGGAAGGGAAAGAGGAAGAGGAGGAGGAGGAGAAGAGGAGGAGGAGACTTGGAAGGGACCTTGAAGGTCTTCTAGTCCAACCGGCTGCTCAAGAAGGAAAGAGGCCCAGTTGCTAAATGCTTGAAGTTTTCTCATGTGACCCCCGGGGCCTGGGAAACTGTCAGAAGTTTGAATCCAGTTGCAGGTAACCCTGAAGTAGGTCCATTGTAATTTGAAACAGTCACTAAACGAATGGTCGTAAGTCAGGGACAACCTGTAAGTGATGTTAACGCCGCACCTCATTTCCTTCGGACAGGAAAAACAAACCAAGTTATCTTGGGAAACAAGGATGCTTTGAAGATGTCTATTTGTTCTGATTGTGTTTTTTGCAAATATTTCTTCTTCGGAATACCAAAGATACAAAAAAAAAGAGAGGAATTTGAAGATGCTGCCTACTGTGCAAGCTTTTCACAAAGTGAGGCCAGAAACGCTTTTGTTACACTCCGCTTCTCCCCCGAGGACGCTAGGAAATTGTAAGCTATTATCCGAGAGAAAAATTTCTCCTTTCTTTGGCGCCAACTAATTGGGGTGACGTCTCCAGAGGCTGCAACACGGAAGGCAATGTATGGCCACCTTCAATTATTCGAATTATTCTACAATTGAGCTGCGTTTTTTCGCTTGCTGGCTCCGTTTCGACACGTACGTTTGAAGTGGCTGGATTCACACCCGTGCCTGGAGCCTGATCTTGTACAACTATCGTCTTCTAAGCCATAAACGGCAAAGACTGCGTTTAAGGGCAGCTTTAAGCCAAGATCAAGCCAACCATATCAGGATTTGCCGCAACATTCAAACCATCTCCAGTCAGTTCTGGCCGCCTGCATCTCTTCCCCCAGCTGTTACAGAACTCCAATTCCCAACATCCCTCACTTTTGGACAAGGTTGCAAAGGCTGCTGGGAACTGCAGTTCACATAACCATTGAGCACTGTTTTCAACCTTGCAACTTTAAGATGGGCAGACTTCAACTCCCAGAATTCTCAGAATGCTGGCTGGGAGATCTGGGAATAGAAGTCCACATATCCTAAAGCAAGCTGGCTGGAAAATTCTGGGAGTTGTAGTCCACACATAGATGTAAAGCATACTGACAGGGGAATTCTGGGAGTTGTAGTTCACACATAGATGTAAAGCATGCTGACAGGGGAATTCTGGGAGTTGTAGTTCACACATAGATGTAAAGCATACTGACAGGGGAATTCTGGGAGTTGTAGTTCACACATCGTAAAGCATACTGACACGGGAATTTTGGGAGTTATAGTCCACACATAGATGTAAAGCATACTGACAGAGGAATTCTGGGAGTTATAATCCACACATCGTAAAGCATACTGACAGGGAATTCTGGGAGTTGAAGACCATCCATCTTAAAGCAGGCTGGCTGAGGAATTTTGGGAGTTGAGATCCACAAATATTAAAGCATGCTGGCTGGGGAATTCTGGGGGCTGTAGTCCACCAATCTTAAAGCGCGCTGGCTGAAAACTTCTGGGAGTTGAAATGCACACATCTTAACATTTCTAAGGTTGAGAAATGCTGACTTAAAGCAAAAGTTCTCCATCTCTGTGGTAAAGGGTGAAAAAACAAATTGTACCAATAGATAAAGAACAGGGTGGAGTCACCTCTGCTTGGTGTTAATTGCTGGAATGTCAATATAATGTTCAAATGCAAGCTATAAAAAATGAGTCATGAAATTTTTCTCTTAGCCACAACTCCATTTAATGCTTTGATCTCCAAATGCTTCGGCAAATCGTCTTGAATTAAAGAACTCACTGGCAATATCATTTAATGTGGGGTTTTGTGACACCACAACGCTCTAACAACACTCAGCCTCAATAAGTTTAAAATAGCTGGACTTCAATTACCAGAATACTCCAGTCAGCATACTGGTTAGGGAATTTTGGGATTGACACCCGCACACATCAAATAGTGGCCAGGGTTGAGAAAACATTGTATGATGTTGCGTAAACTGCAGTTCCCAGCAGTCTTTTGCACACTTGGCTGAGAGAAAGGGATGCTGGGAGTTGAAGTCACCTGTCTTCAAGTTGCCAGGGTGGAGACACACTGCTCTATGTTAGGGGAACTGCAATTCCCAGTAGCCTTTGAAAACTTGGCTGAGTTTGAAGGATGCTGGGAGTTGAAGTCCATACAGGTTAAAATTGCCACGGTTGAAAAACTCTGAACCAAAACCAAACAAGGCACATTATAATAAAGAATAAAGACTTTATAGAAGAGATAGATAGATAGATAGATAGATAGATAGATAGATAGATAGATAGATAGATAGATAGATAGATAGAGATATATAAAGATATATGGGTATATAAAGAGATAGATAGATAGATAGATAGATAGATAGATAGATAGATAGATAGATAGATAGATAGATAGATAGATAGATAGATAGATAGACAGACAAGATAGATAGATAGATAGATAGATAGATAGATAGATAGATAGATAGATAGATAGATAGACAGACAGACAGACAGATAGATAAGATAGATAGGTAAACATAGAGATAGATAAAGAGACAGAGAGATATATAGAAAGATAGAGATAGATGGAAAGGTAGATAAATATAGATATCTAAAGATATCTATACACACACGCTCAGAGTAAAAAGACAGAGACAGATGCCTACAAAGTTGCCCAGCCCAGTATCTATACATACCTGTGAGGTAGGTATTATGCGAAGAATTAATGAAGTAGCTGCTCAGCGGATGCGTCATGTCATCACTCAGGTCCAGCTTTTCGGGCGGCACAATGGTGTTCTCTTCACCCCCCAAGTAGCGCCCAAAACCCTCCAGGGACATCTGATCTGGGAAAGGAAGAGAAAGACTTGAGGATCGAGTTGGACCGGAACTCCCTTGGCCAAAGTCAAGGATTTCAAATAAAAGGGAAGTGAAAAGAATGAGGAAGCTAGCACAAAGAAAATTTCAGCCACAATCCAAGAACCTGCCTTGTTTTATTACTACATAATATTATTGCAGATTGTCCTCAACTTACAACAGTTCATTTAGTGACCGTTCAAAGTTAAAACGGCACTGAAAAAAGTGACTTAGGATTGTTTTTCACACTTATGACCGTTTCAGCGTCCCCCATGGTCACGTGGCCTATATTCGGATGCTTTGACGACTGACTCGCATTTGTGACAGTTGCAACGTCAACTTCTGGCAAGCCAACTCAATAGGGAAGCCTTTTGTGTATTATATGATACGGAAAATATTCTATCAATGGTTAGAGAATAAAAAAGGAATTTAGAAATGAAGCAGAATAAAGGAGAACAGAAAATAAATTAAGATAGAGATAGGAAAAAAATGATAACTGTTATTATATGTATGATGAGAATAATGAGATATAACTTTAATAAGGCATTATCACCAGAAGAGTTGTCTAATGTTTAGCTGTTTGACGTCTCTTAATTCTAAGTTTAGAGAAATAATATCAATGTGAATGTGAATGATGTTGTAAATCAGAGGTCTCCAAACTTGGCAACTTTAAGACTTGTGGACTTCAACTCCCAGAATTCTCAGAATGCTGGCTGGGAGATCTGGGAGTTGAAGTCCACAAATCCTTAAAGCAAGCTGGCTGGAAAATTCTGGGAGTTGTAGCGCACACACAGGCATAGAGCATATTGACGGGGGAATTCTGGGAGTAAATCAGAGGTCTCCAAATTTGGCAACTTTTAAGACTTGTGGACTTCAACTCCCAGGATTGCTCAGCCAGCATTCTGAGAATTCTGGGAGTTGAAGTCCACAAGCATAGCTGGCTGAGGAATTCT